TGTCAGGGAGACGGTGGACAGTGTGTGTGGAGGTAGGGGAGAGGGAGCGGAAGAGGGAGAGGGCGCGGATTTGGTGTTGAGAGATTGGAGCAGGAGGAAGAGGTAGATGAGTAAGGTTTGATTTACATGGGACTACTAGTTTCGTGTAGTTTAATCTCTTAATTATTGTTCGCTAATTACACGGGACTAGTAGTCCCATTAGCATTCTTTCATCAAAATCGACCGCTTTCTGAATTCTGCCCAGATGTGCTAATGTGAGCGAAAAACAGTCAAGTTTACTAATTTTAGTCTAAAAGGGTCTGTTTTACTTATATTGTTTTAAAAAAGGTCTATTTAAAAAAAAAACTCCTTTTACAATTAGTAGGATATAGCATAAACAAACTACTCTAATTTTTATTTTTTAATAATACTTTAATTTTATATTTGCTAGTCGCCTATTATGAAAACATTGTGATGGTAGGCTAGTAGGTAATGAATACTTTAATTTTATTTGTATGATTTGAAAATTTTAGACCCCCCCCCCCCCCCAACTTTCAGATTTTTTTTTGTGATTTTTATTGAGTTGTATATTATTAAGGGTGTTTTTATAATTTTTATAATTGTTCAGGATGTTGTTTACCCTTTTTTTACTTTACAAGGGATCATGTTAATTTTCTAATTTTAAGACGTTTGTTATAAGTTTTTATAAATTTTTTAGGGGGTCCTTATAATTTTACATGTTTAAATCAACTAAGTCTTAACTTTTCACCTTTTTTCTTATACCCCCTAATTTGGTAAAAAAATTATCTTTATATGCGTTTAAAATTTATTCTCACTGAAGCTTAAAAAAAATAGGAAACATAAGTACAGATGAGATGATGCTTAACACGACAAATTTTACCCCCTTTATCCACGTAACAAAGAAGCCCTTGGAACTAATCGCACGTGAGCACCAGTTCCGAGTCACGCGATAGGAGGTCGTGATTACGAAATTGCCACTCTGCGATGCCCATCGAAGGGCTCAAATCAACCGTTCTCATGGCAAATGTACTCGGCATGTACTTTTACTGTTCTACAGAGGGGCAATGGGCTAGTATTGGAAAATCGCTCTATATAAGTACGAAGCTAAGGCCCATTTTCTTTCTGCATCACAATCCGGCCTATGGGTAAAGCTTTAACTATCCCTCCCAAGCCCGAACCTAGAGTAAAGCTTGAAAAAAGATAAGGCCCAGGCCTAATCATAGGAATGAGTTTTGTTAAACCAAATGCTATTTGTTTTGAGTCGCTGCTCTATAACAAATGATAATAGGTCAATCCAAGTCAAAAGCCTTGATCGAAATGCCTCGTCTCTCCGCGAATTAGCACCTATTAAAAAAATTCCTCTCTAGCACCCAAAAAAAAATGTTTATCAGAAAAATTCGCTCTTGGTGCTCATGTCATTTCAAATATCTTTAAGAAACTTATGCGATTATAAATTTGGTGGGATTCTATTATAATTGAGTGGATCGCCTTAATACCCACAACATTTTTTTTATATATTGTTTACGAAAAGTGATTTTTATGGAATGTGAATCATTTGTGTGTTCTGTGCATGGATTGACCCAGCGGAGCTACATAATTCTGATTAACGTAACACTAAAGAGAGAATCATTAATTAATTTTAGATAGACATCTGTGGATATATTAATTAGATGATAATCATGGACAAACCAAATGCAGTCTCAAACTCACCTTCACATGTTGCACATTAAAAATAATAATAGAAGAGAAAAATGAAACAACCACGAAAGAGACTCAAACTAGGAGGCCGGTTCGGCATTGATGAATATTATTTAAACAAATTAAGCAGAAAGCTAACATTGTCTCCATATTTAACCTAAGATATTAATATATATATATATAATCAACCATAGTATAATTCTCTTCTTAACTGTCG